CACCCGCGCCAAGGCCAGGGCCATGAGCGCCGCGCCCACGCCCTTGCTGACGAGAAACTTGCGCTCCAAGTGCCCAACCCGCGGGGGACAGCGGATGCGACCCGGAATTCTCTCGACCCTCCCTGGAAAACCCAGCGCTCTCCAAGCTGGGCGGAAAACGCCGGGGCGCACCTCGGTTCCTGCTGCGTGCGAAATTAGAAAGGAAACAGTTAATTACTGTCTCCTTGTCCTGACTTTTCTCTGGTTCCTTCGGTCACTTTGGCTGACCCCACCATTCTGAATCTGCCCTGGGGGCTCTTCAGCCACAGCGAGAATCCCAAATCAAACACTCGCATTCTGCGAGCTGGGTTTCTCCCAACGCACCTTGCAATCTTAAAGGTTGCCTTTCCGCAAAAAGCTTGGGAGGAGCACCTGAGCTGGGAAAGACAACTGGCGCGTGGCGGGGTCCCTCGGACCCGAAAAGGCGCAGCGATTTAACGAGCTGGAGTTTCCGGAGCTGCGTTCAGCGGCGCCCTAAGGCAGTCGGGCAGGATGCGCGGGAGCCAGCGCCCAGGACGTGCGTGGATTCCGCGCCCACCCGCCCCCGCCAGTTTACAAAGCAAACTTTCCCCTGAGTAGTTTCTAGATCCAACGGCGCACAGAGTGCGCCAATCAACACCTACACAGACCCAAACTGTAGAAACACGGATCGATCAGATAATTTCAAATATTATAATTGGCTTTAATTAAACACACTGCGTTCTAATTAACTCTGAAATTTTAGCATGCTTTGGGACACTGGTGTCTGATTTGATATTGTCAGTCCAGATGTCCTAATAAAATTCAATCTTCCACTCAAGACTTCAATATTCACTAAGAACAAAATGCAAATTAAATGTAAAACCTAAAGTATCGCCAAAGGTATAATCAAGAAAGGTGTCTCAAAACTTCTCACTTTTTATTACGCAGTAGTTAAAAAATGCAGATTACATCCTAACAAGACCTCTCCAGCACACCATAAATCTTAACTCTTTCCTGGGAGGGGGTGGGGTGCCCTGCCACTGGCTTAAATGAAAAGGAGGGGGATAACCAGACCCCATAAAAGAATTGAATACCCTCATCTGAAAGCTAACGGAGCGCAAAAGTTCGCCAATGAAATTCTGGCTTGAAATGGGTTTGCCAAAACCGGCAAAGGAGTTGGGGTGGTAGAGAGCCAAGGGCTGGGGGTGGACGGATTGGCATGGGATTGACGTCCTCCTCAGCAGCGACAGTCGCCCACTCCTCGGCCGCACCTTAACGGGGTGTGTACACATCCGTTCCTGTGCGCAAAAATGGGTTGGTGGGTGACAGCTGCCTGGCCTGGTCAGTCCGCCCCGGTAATTATCTCAGCTGTAGGGACCGCGACGACGAGGCTGGGAGGGATGGGGGAGCACACTACCCTTGGACAGAAATGTGTCAACCCCTCCTCCCTTCCCGCCTGCACAAACCCTTTCACCCACGTTCGCGCGATTTCTAAGGGATCCAAGCTGGCGGACGGTACTGGGCAGCGCGCGGCAGCGGGACGGCCCCTCCGGGTAAACCGGGCGCAGGCCATGCGGGGGATGCGCCTTTGGTGACACATTTGGCCGCGACGTGATTCTTTACCAATCCGAGGGTCTGCTAAATTTACAGCCCAGAATGAGCCCTGTTAAAAGGAAGCTATTCTCACATTAAACATGTGTATGTTTTCCATACTAATGGAGTCACTTAAAGCTGTTGCTAATTTAACTTTTTAAAAAGGCCACACTGTGGAAATTTGCATTTTCTTTAGGATATTGAAATGAAGAGAAAACTGCTGGGCGGCGAGGCTGCCCAGGGCATAGCTAGGGGCCATGCAGAAATAAAAACAGATAAAGAAAAGAAGAAAGAAAGAAACCCGCTTCTCTTCTAGACTATTAATAAGCAATTTGTCCCGCTGAAATTTACATTGCAAAGCGGAGCGCGCCGGCAGCCGAGGCGGCTGGGCTGGCGCGGGCTCGGGCGGTGCACCCAAGGCGGGGCGGGGCAGCCCCTGGGCCGTCCTGGCCGCCCCCGGGGGTGATCTACGGGCAGCCTTGAACTTGGCGTCCTTGCCGCCGCACCACCGACCTTCGCCCGCATCCACGCGTGTCTGCGCGCCAGTGCCCCGCCTGGGCCGCGCGCCCGGAGAGCGAGGACTAGGGGTGCGCGGTCGCCGCCAGGCCCGCCGCAGCCAGGCTGGGGGCTCTCGAAGAGAACCCCTCCGCTCGCAGGAACGTCCCGGGCTCACTGACCCCCACCGCCCCCCAAACGCTGACCAGGCCTTAAATTTAAAATGCCAACAATAAGCTTCATTTTTTTCCTGCAGAGCCGTGCTGCCCTGGCCCAAGTCAGCTGCAAGTGCGGAGCCCCGCGCTCCGCGCCCACCCCGCGCCCCCGCCTGCTCCCCCGCCCGCGCGCGCCCGGCGCAGCGCGGCTCCCGAACCTAGCGTGGGGCCAGGGCGCCATCTACGGGCGCCGCGCGGCTCCGGGCGCCGCCGCCGCCTCCCGCGGGCCTTCCAGAGCCCGCTCCTCCTCCCGCCGCCGCCCGCGCTCGCCCCGCGCCGGCTCCGCCAGGCCTGCCACTTACCGCAATTACGCGACGCTCCCCGTGCCGTTTTGCTTATGAAACACGGATTGCTAGTCATGCGAACTTGTAAGCACTATATTAAAACTTTCGAAATGAAGGCGCTCTCAGATTTTTAGGCACGATTAAAAGATATGAAATGTAGAGATAATGCAATTTGATTTGTTAGTCTAACTGCGCTTTGAGACTTGATGTCCCCAAGGACCAGGCGAGTTTTCCCCTTTATTTATTTTTATTAAAACATCAATCTACGCTGGAGCTGGGTGAACTCGGTTTCACCTGGAGAACATAAAATTCTCCATACCAGAGAAATAAGCACCTTTCATAAATCAGCGGTATTCCTGACACATCGATCAATTTTTGGTTGTTAATCCGAAAGGAGGAGTTTTAATTGCTTCCTGCGTTCTCTTCCAGGCACCTCGGCATTTCGACCTTTCCCTTCCTCCCTCCAAGGGTCTCACTTTTGTATGGAGGGGAGGGGCGGGGATTGAAAAATCCCGGGCCCTTCTACTAAACCCCGGGAACCCCCGATCTCTGCCTGCGCCCGCGCGCGCCTCCCCCGCGCCGAGGGCCCTCCGCCCGCGCTCACCTCCCCGCTGTCGGGCCAGGAGGAGCGCGGGCAGAGCCCCCCTGGGCCCGAGGGGCTGCCCAGGCAGTGCTTGCCGGCCGACAAAACGCTACCAGGACGCGGCGCAAAAGTTCGCCGCAAGGCCAGGCCCGGAGCGCCGCCCAAGGTCCCGGGCTCCCGCAGCCCCAACCGCGCCGCGCGCGCCTCCGCCAATGCCCCCGACCGCGCCCCCCGCGGGCGAGCAGAGCGCACCCGGGAGGGGGGATGGCGCAGCCGGCGCAGCCTGGCCCCCCTGCGCCCAGCGCCCGGCCCGCGGCGCGCCAAGTTCAACTTTGGTGGCCGGCGGCCTCTGGGGGCCACGGGCTGGGGCCGGGAGCCCCCGACGGGACCGCGCGCAGTCCCCGCGCGCTTACCTGCGCCGCTCGTTCGACGGGCGTCGCGGGGCGCCCTGGCCGCGAGGTGGCGGCGGCGCCAGCTGCGGGCCGGGAGGGTGTGCGGCCCGGCGCCTTCCCACGTTCCCACTTCCCACCCTCCCGGGAGAGCCCACGGGCCCGGCCGCGAGCGCGTCAGTGCGCACGCGCCGCGCTGCCTTCCACGGCGGGAGGCGGCGGCGCGGCGGGCGGGGGCCGGGCGGGGGCCGGGCGGGGGCGCGAGAAGGTGCCCGCAGGGGGCCCCGCGGCCCGCAGCTGCGCCCCACTCTTGCCACCGTGAGGAGGGACCTCCAGGGCGCCCCACTGGGCCGGGCGCGGGGCCCCCACGGGGAGGCCTTTCGCTAGCACCGGAGCCCCGCTCCTTCTTCCAGGGCCCAATGGCTTTGGTGACCCCTGGCCAAGAGAGCGCGCCAAACCCGGGGAGTGGCTCCCGGCGTAGACACCTGTCCCTAAGCGCGGATCCCAGGCTCGGGTTGGCCCGAAGCCGTCGGTGTAGACTCGCGCACTCTCCCAAACAGAGGATGGCGCGGGTCCGCCTGGGCCTTTTTGGTAATGCTGGGGGAGGGGACAGCTTCCTTGGAGTCTGGATGCTAATAATCTAGTGAGAAGCGCTCAACTGCCAGGCGGTTACACTGAAATGGGGCCAGGCAAGGGCTCTCCCACAAAGAGAGGAGGGCTGGGATTCTCCCGATAAAGCCACTGTGCAAAAGAACAGAATAGATACCTGGTCCCATGAGCTGAGTGTGGCGTTCAGGGCAACGTCAGCTGACTCCGCCGCCCCTGGGAGAGAATGAGGCCAAGCGGCCTTGACCACCACACTCTGCCTTTGGTGTCACCCAGGAAATGACCAGATGTGGGACCTTTGCCATTAACATCTGGAGCTGCTGCTGAAGGCAAGAACAGGGGTCCGGCGGGTGTGTCCGCATCCCTGACCCGCTGGCTGGCTGGCCCTTGGGTTGGAAGAAGCTGACTTTTAACCAAGGTGGCTGGCTCCAGGCCCTGTGTCCCTACAGTGACTGCTTATTTTTATAGTATGCCCCTTTGCTGAGAACCTAGTACTATCTCCTACTAATTCTTATCTACCTGCTTCCTCAAGACTTAAGTGCAATGTAGATCCCCAGATAAAGACGACTTTCGTGTAGCCAAGCTTGTCTTCAAAAACAGAAAGCACCAGCGGGTCAGAATTGGACTTTCACCATCAACAATGCATTGCTTTTTCTCCCCTGTTTCTTGCTCCTAGATTTGTTTTGTTCTCTTTATTTCAACCTTTTGTAGTGAAAGTTGAATGTGCTGAATCATGAAATCTTACTGGAAGGGAAAAGTTATTTTTGGCCATTTATTTAGTAAAAAGCACTCTAGAGAATGCAACCCAGAAATGTACTTTATTATGATAGCTTAATGTAAGAAAAGAACTAAATAAGGAATATTTCCCCTTTGTCATCTTCACTTGGGAATCATTTTTAATGTGAGCCAGCATGAAACCATTTAAGCAATATGGAATATTTTAAGATATAAAATTACCCATGTTTTTAATAGCAGCTCACATGTATTGAATGTTATGTGCTGGGCACCCAAGACAGGTGGGAAAGTTAAAGGACATGTTCTGGTCATACTACGAGGAAGCTGGGACTCCAACCCCACTGCTGGACCCCTGCTGGACTCCAGCCATTACGTGGTTCAGCCACATGTGGCTTCAGAGGCGAAGGATGGGGAGGTTAGATGTCTTAAAGTCACTTTGCATGCATGGAGCCCTGAAATGGCCTTTGCTAAGTGTGCCCAGATAGGATGTGGAATGACAAGAAGGAGGCTAAGGGGATGGGTAGGATCCCTCTAATGTTGGGTTGGTGACCCTTCCTTCTCCAACCCTCCTCCTCTGCAATCTTACCTGCCCTCCAAAGGTGCCATCCTGGGCCTCCTTTCTCCAAATGCTCCTAGAGAATGGAGACCTGGCCTTACTCTTGGTAGATCCTCGAGGATTTCTTTTTCTTTTCCTTTTTTTTTTTTTTTTACGGGAATGAGAAATGAATGGAGAACATTTAGTCATGTAGGTAGTTGTTCCTGATCAAAGGCCTGGGAGAGGAATGGCACTGGTCACATAAGTTCATGAAGGAAATGACATAATCAGATGGGACAGTTTGAGAAAACCCATCACTTTTATGGGAAAGAGCTTGGCCATTGACCCGTTGACAGGAGACCAATGACCATACCTCCATATACAAATAACAGCACACAGTTATCCTTTAGTAGGAATAATCACTGACTTTCTCCATGCCTCACTTATGGAATACAGTGATTGCTGCCCCCTTCGCTGCCCTCCTTTGTCCCACAAATATTCATGTAGGCTGGGTCAGGCTGTGCTCAGTAGTGAGCAAGGCCCTGCTCTCATGGTGCTTGAGGTCCAGCCTGTGGAGTGCGAGGACTCAGCTCTGAGATGTTTGCAGCAGGAAAGGCTTCGGTACATCTAACAGGCACATAAAAATCAATGTCCATCTCATCTGTCATTGTCCACATGTGTATGATCTGTCACTGGCCTCTGTACCCAGAAACAAATTCACAAACATCAGTATTCAAATCTGTTTCAATATTTACTTTTATCTCTTTGTCCATAAGAAGCAATGTGCCTTGTGGTCCCTACTATCCAGCCAACATTTTAAGTGTGAAGCGAGGTGGGACTTTCCCAATGCCAAATTAGCACTAGCCCAAGGGTGCAGAGGAATGGAGGGGCCCCAGTGCAGAAATTCAGCAGAGGTGAAACTTGGTCACCTAATCCAGAAGTGAGAACTTAATCCTGGGCATTTTCAGAGGACAAAAGGTTTCAGCAATTCTTTGCTTTATTTGCTGACCTACTGTATGAAACACATCTGTACATGGATTCCCCCTGTGGGAAACTCCTGAACTTGGGACTCACCCATTCTCTTCATCTGGTTGATGAGTTCTTAGCAAGGAGCTGGACACAGCATGCGGGATCAGCAAATAATTGTTGAATTCATACAGATGTGATTCAACCTTAGAGACTTGGTATTGTGGAAAGTTTCACACACACACCCAAGTTGGATAGACCAGGAAGACAAAATTGGCTCTTCTGCTCAGAACATTGTAGTCCCTCCACATTTCTTCTTGCCTATAAGGAAAAAAATATTTTAATTAAAATGGCAACTGATTTGGTCAAATATGCCATGACCTGCTTCATGACATTTATGCTCTTGCATCCCAGTGGAGTAACCTGGGTGAGAGTAACAAAGGAAACCACCCGCTGTCCACAGAAGACAGCCAGGAAAAGCCACTTGTGGGATGCGGGTGGGGGTGGGAAGTGAGACCTGGGCAGTGGCGAGCAGCCATCCATGTGATAACAAGCCAGGCCAGGGGTGATGGGAACCAGCTTCCTAGGGCCTTTTGTGTTGGCCTGGGATGGTGGTTCCAGGATGAGACCCACCCTTCCAGTTTGTGGAGATGGCAGACTGCTTTCCTGAGACTCGATTCAAGCAACTCGATTCAAGACTGTTTGCAAGGTGTGAAGGGAGGCATTCGGAGTGACCCTGCAAGACACCCTGACCCTCCGTGGCCCCCACCACTGGCGTTCAAGGGAATATGATGGCAGTTCTGTCCTACAATCATTCATGAAGAGAAATCCTAGGGTTGTTCTAGGCCCATAAAACATAATATTTGAGAAAGAAAGACTGAGATGCATATGTTGATGGGGAAAAAAAATCCTGTGATCATTGAGGCCTGTTTTCACCCTAACATATGTATATCCAACTCTTTATTTTTTCAGTATAGGCCTCTGTATTTTCATTTCTCATTCTTCTATTGACCTAAAGCCTTGAAAGTCAACTCTTTTAAACCTATGACATGTGAATTACACCTCAGTTCAGAACACTTTAATCTAAATACAGCAGCTGGTGCACGAAATGGTTGCCTGAGGCAGGGACTTGCATGCAGGTATTTCGCCCAGAAGAGCTGGGAAGGGAGAAGGGAGGCAGGGAGGATATGGAGGCTAAGCAGAAGATGGCCTGACTGTGTGACCCTGCAGACCCTCCCATCACAAAGTGGAGCCAATCCCCTTGCCCACCCTTTGATTTTGAGTTGGGCTGCATGATTTGCCTCGGCCTCTGGAGGTTAGCCATTGTGTGGGATGTCCCCACTTCTGCTTTTCGTGCCTCTGTCTTCACTGTAGGAACAGACCCAACCAGCGACTATTATGGAATGGACACGTGGCACGGAGCCCAGTGGCCCCGCCAAGGCCATCCTGGACCAGCCGGCAGCCAGCTGACCCACAACAGGGGAGAGAGCCCACCAGGATCAGCAGAACCATCCAGCCAAACCACGGCAGGTGGCAGATGTGTGAGAGCCCAACCCACACCAGAGTCACCTCTCTGCTGTGGCGTAGGGTGGCTGGTTATGCAGCATTATGTCGCATAACCCAGAAGATGGCTTCGGTCTGGTCCCTCAAGACACTCAGAGTGTAAGTTAGTCTCACAGTTCTCCTGCCCAAGGTGAGGAAGCAGGCCTTTCAGATTCCTGCAGCCAGTCGTCCCTGGCTAGAAGGCTACCTGGGGAGACATGACTTCTCTGACCCTTCCAACCTGCTCGGCCTGTAGCAAAGCTTCATATTCATTTACACTTTGGAGTCCATTGCAAAATCTACTTGGTAAAGAAGCTCAGATGCTCAAGACCTGGGAAATGAACAGAATTTCTAATATCCAGTGATCATGCCAAGATTGGAGAGGTAGGGCAAGCAGTGTTCTAGCTTTCTTTTCCTGTGCCCATTAAGAAGAGAGAACAAGGGGCACCTGGGTGGCTCAGTCGGTTGCAGAAGCGTCTGCCTTCAACTCAGGTCATGATCCTAGGGTCCTGGGATCGAGCCCCATGTTGGGTTCTCCACTCAGCCAGGAGTGTGCTTCTCCCTCTCTTCCCTGCTTGTGCTCTCTCTTGCTATCTCTGTCGCTATCTCTGTCTCTCTCTCTCAAATAAATAAGTAAAATCTTTAAAGAAAAAAAAAAAGAAGAGAGAACAAGCCATGCACCCAGGACTCAAAGAAAGTGACGTCAGGTGTTCTGGCAAGGACCCAGTCAAGCCCATCCAGACATCTGACCTACAGAACTGTGAGATAGTAAATGGGTGTTTTTTAAACCACTAAATTCTTGGCAATTTATTACAGCAACAACAGACAAGGAACACACCCACCTTTGCTGCCTGGAGGCCGATGCTCATCGCTTAAGCTGTGTGTCGGTCAGTTGGCCGTGGTGGTGCTGCTCACCTTCCCCAGTACAGTCACATAAACAGCAGTCATGCTTCCTCGCACGTGCACCTGCAGGTTTGCTGGGGCAGCTGTGTGATCTGGGCCCTGCTGCTTGCGTACAGCTAGGTGTGGCTTCAGACCACAAGTTCTGTTCAGGTCAGCTCTGCATGTCTCTCATCTTCTGGGACCAGCCAGCCCTGGGCATGTGCTTCTCAGGGAGGGGAAGAATCAGGACAGGAACTGACAGAAGAACCCTGAGAAGCGTGTGTGGACTCCAAGTCCTTTGGTGCTGGAGCCCTGAGAAGGACAGGCACATTCTCCTGGGTCCTGGGCTCCTTTGTCCCTCATCCCATACCCTCCAGTAGGCATACAAAGCCAGCTCTGGCCTTCAGAGGGGCCAACCCCCCAAATGTAGTTTGATCTCTAGAGATGGAGGCCCCTGGCTCTGTCCTGCCTGAACTTGTATCTCCTCTTGCAGCCTGTGACTTCACCCCAGACTTTATTCCTGCACCTTACCTGCAGAGGCCCCCCTCCAGCTGCTAGGCATGCCCCATGAAAGAGAGAAGGACCAGCAAGTGGGCTTGGGGCCAAGGCAGGATGCCCTGCAAGGATGGGCCCCAGAGTAAGCAGGCAGAGCAAAGAGTTTGGCCTCCAAAGAAAGGTCTGGACTTTGTCTTGGTGATAGGACAAAGTGATAGGAGTGTCTTTGTTACTCATGAGCCCTCACCACATCTGATAGTTTGTGCTAATGGGATGACTAAGGTAGGTGCTGGCTGTGCCAGAAAAAGCAGCCATGGGATTAGAGGGTGGGGGCTGGGGGCCTCAGGGTATCAGCCCAGCCTCTTGGGGGACGGGAGCTGGAGCTGGAGTTGGAGCTGGAGCTGGAGTTCAACCACATGGGCAAATCAATCAATGGAGCATACCTGTGTAATGAAATCTCAATAACAGCTCTGGACACTGAACTCTATGGGCTTCCCTGGTTGGCAGTACTCAGTGCTTGTTGTCACACATTGTGACCGGAGGGGTAACACTGTCCAGGACTCCATGGAGAAAGGAAGACCAAAGCTCTGTGTTTGGATGCCTCCCAGATTCCACTGTATGCACCTTCCCCTTTGGCTGGTTCCACTTTGATGCTTTGCCTGTAATAACTATGGGTATGACAGAGGTTACCATGAAATGAGCAGTATCTCTGACCATAAGGGGCTCCCCTTCCTGATCATGATCCAGGCAGGAGCCATAGGCTATCTCAGCAGAACTGCAGATGGGCTGACTTGTTTTCTGGGGGCTCCTTGGCTCCAGGTTGGCCACAGGCTGCAGCAGACCTAGTCTGGAGGTCTGGAGGCACTGCCAATACCTGGGGAAAAGGCTACCCAGCTGCTGAGCCTTACAGTGAGGGAGGAGATGCACATCAGCCCTATAAGGATGCTATGGATGATGAAGAGGTTGCAAAGGTCGAGAGGAAAGACCCCCCAGCACTCATCCCCATCTGTTCCTCCTGCTGGTTGGAGAACAGCTCCAGACAGGCCCTGTGTGTCTTGTGCTTACTGCCTCCAAACCCCCAGCACCTAGCACAGTGCTGACAGCCTCCAATTCATATACCTTCAATTTAACAACTCTTGGCTACCTTAAAAATCCCAAAGAGAGTTCAGATTGGTCTGGGATGGCTCACATAACCAGTCACAAACTAAGTATGGTGATGCCAGGAGGATGGGATCCTTTGCCAGGTCAGCATCCATCCCAAAACTGCCTGGTGAGGAGTGGACCCAAAGGAAAGGATGCAGGGCAACAAGATGAGTCCACCACAGCAACTTGGGGGCCTTGCCCCTCGATGAGCCTTGAGGTATTTTTCAATACAATTCTGTTATTCAGTTCTGGCTACAGCAGCTGCTATGGGGGCATTTTTAGTTGTATTTCTAGGAGAGGCTCTCCCCTTTCATCCTGGTATGGCCCTGTTTCTCCATGGAGTGTGAGTAGAGATGATATGTGTATCCTCTGAGTTGAGCTTTTAGGATGATGTGTGCCTTCTCCAGTCTCTTTGACCTTCCCCTGGCTGGAATCCAAGGTCTCCATGTCTCAGGGGACAGCAGAGCCACAAGCTGGAAGGAGCCTGGGCCTCTAGGTCACCACATGGAGGAAGTTTCCCCACCAAGCAAACCTTCATTGGACTGTTATGTGAGTGAGCAGTAAACTATTTTCAGCTGCTGAAATTTTGGAGCTTAATCATTTACAGCAACTAACTCATGCAATACTCATGGTGATCAGTTTTAATGGCGTAGAGAAAAAGGTGCTACCCTGGGCCAGAAAATTATGCTCTGCAAACCATAATGGCTATCTGTACACTGGGAGTGATCCTGTATGTAACATTACAGTGGTCCCAATCCACAGGGCATAAGGAAAGACTCAGAGGAATGTGTGACTTGGTGTCTATTGGGGGTGGCAGCACAAAGAACAGCAGCTTATTTTTAAAAGTGGAAATTTCTATTGTTTACTTAAAATTACAAATAGTACCTGCATATAATTAACAATTTGGGAATTACAAGAAAATAGGGAGATAAAAAAATGAGTCACTGGTTAACTTTTTGGAGTATTTCCATCCAGTCTTTTCAAAAAGACATTTGGAGATATATGCTTTTCTGTAACCAGGTGCATTTTGTGCACCTAAATTTTTTTCTTAAAAATAATAACAATAAGAAATTTCTGCTTCTGGGAAGATGGAGTAGATGAACTTTTTTCTTTTCCTCCTGCTAGGTACAACTAAAAACCCTGGGCCTTATATGTAAAATATACATGAGAAGACTGAAAAGTGTCAAGGAGAAGAAAGACCAGGTAGGGATCTTGAGACCCAGGGAACTACTTGATGGTGATTTTCCTGCATTTTCTTTTTGCCTCATACATCCCAGTCTTGGAGCTGACAATGTCATCAGTCTAAACATGTCAATGGTACAGATTTTGGGGAAAAAAAAATCCGTGCTCTCTCTAGCCAAAGGACTGGGAAAGCAGCATCCTAATAAGACAGAGAACTTTCAGACTATAATTCTCTATTCCAACCAAACACCACAGACAACTTGTGGCCCAACCCCACTCATGCCAGTAAAGACCAAGTGGGGAGCCTAGACTCCTATCCTCAAGAAGCTGTAAGGAGATGCCCCAACAGGGTGGTGTCAGAGAAAGCCTAGTGGGGATTCGAAGCTTTCACTACCACCCAACAGTAACGAGGCTATGGCCTGCCCCCCATGGTGTAAGTAGAGGCCATATGGGGAACAGTAATGAGACACTCCCACCCATCCAGGGAGGTAGTAGTGGGCATCCAGAACTCCCACCCCTATCCAGCAATAGTGAGGAGTCCCCCCACTGGCTGTGAATGGAGGCTGAGTGGGAAACAAGGACTTCTACCCCGTACCTGGTAGCAATGAGGTGATATTTACCCTTTCCCCTGCCAGAGCAATGCCAGAGAAAGCCAACTGGAACAGAAAGTTTAAATAAGGTGCTCAGAACATAATAACCAAAATGTCCAAGTTTCAACTGAAAGTCACTTATCATACCAAGAACCAGGAATTTCTCAAACTGAATGAAAAGAGAACACCAATAGATGCCAACACTGAGATATGGATATGTTAGAATTATCTGGCAGATATTTTAAAGCAGCCATCATAGGAATGCATCAACAAGAAATAATAAATATGCTTGAAACAAATGAAAAGATGGAAAGTATCAGGAAATAAGATAGAAGGTTTCAGCAAAGAAATAGAAGATATAAAGAAGAACCAAATGGGAATTTTAAAAATGAAAACATAACAGATATAAAACACTCAGTGGGTGGGCTCTGCTGCAGCATGGAGGAGTCAGAGGAAGTAATCCATGAACTTGAAGATAGAACAATAAAAACTACTCAATCTAAACAGAGAAAAACAATCTTAGGTGAACAGAGCTTCAGGGACATGTGGAATTATAACAAAAGATCTAACATTCATGTTATTGGAATCCCAGGAGGAAGAGAATGAGGACACAGCTGAAAAAGTACTCAGAAAAATAATGGTTGAAAACTCCCCAAATTTGGCAAAAGACATAAACCTAGATTCAACAAACTTAGTGAATCTCAAAGAGGATAAACCCAAAGAAATCCACACCAAGGCTCAACACAGTCAAACCTCTGAAAATTAAAGACTACATATATACATAGTATTTTAGTATATATATGTGTGTGCACATACAAATATATTTCTACATGTATAGATATCTACATACATATCTACATATATATGTACATACATATCTACATCATACATACATCTACATACATACCTACATATATATATACATATACACATATACACACATATATTATATATTATATATTATATATTATATATATAAAAGAGTGAGAGACAGAAGACACCTTACCTATAGGGGAAAAGTAATTTTAATGACAATGGATTTCTCATCAGAAGCCACAAGCCAGAAGAAAGTGGCAAAAATTGCTTCTCAAGTGCTGAAAGAAAAGAACTGTAAACCCAGAATCATTCAGTAAAAATGTCCTTCGGGAATAAAAGGGAAATAAAGACATTCCTAGAGAAAAGACAACTAAGAGAATTTTTCACCTGCACACCTACCCCAAAAGGCTAAATGGCTACAGGAAATTCTCTAAACAAGAAACAATAAAAGAAGGAAATTTAGAAGGTACAAGGATAAACATCTAAACACAACAGTTAACTCAAAATGGAATTCTAAAATGTGTTCTGATGAAGAACTTATCAAACTCAACACCCAAAAAACAAATTATCCAGTCAAAAAATGGGCAGAAGAGATGAACAGATATTTCTCCAAAGAAGACATACAAATGGCCAACAGACACATGAAAAATGCTCCACATCACTTGGCATGAGGGAAATACAAATCAAAACCACAATGAGATACCACCTTACACCAGTCAGAATGGCTAAAGTTAACAAGTCAGGAAACAACAAATGTTGGTGAGGATGCAGAGAAAGGGGAACCCTCTTACACTGTTGGTGAGAATGCAAGCTGGTATGGCCACTCTGGAAGACAGTATGGAGGTTCCTCAAAAAGTTGAAAATAGAGCTACCCAGAAATTGCATGACTGGGTATTTACCCCACAGATATAAATGCAGTGATCTGAAGGGGCACCTGCACCCCAATGTTCATAGCAGCAATGTCCACAATAACCAAACTATGGGAAGAGACGAGATGTCCATCGACAGATGAATGGATAAAGAAGATGTGGTTCATATATACAACGGAATATTACTCAGCCATCAGAAAGGATGAATATTTACCATTTGCATAGATGTGGATAGAACTGGAGGGTATTATGCTTAATGAAATAAGTCAATCAGAGAAGGACAATTATCATATGGTTTCACTCACATGTGGAATATAGGAAACAGCACAGAGGATCAGAGGGGAAGGGAGGGAAAATTGAGTGGGAAGTCATCAAAGAGGGAGGAAAACTATGAGAGACTCTTAACTATAGGAAACAAAATGAGGGGTGCTGGAGGGGAGGCGGGTGGGGGGATGGG